CGTAGGCAGGCTGCACAGGCCCCGCACTTGCGGTTCTGCCGGTGATTCGTGTAGGGCTGCTGGGGTGGAGGGGAATGGTGCTACTGTCACTAAGACTAGGAGAGGCCGTCCTCAACACCCATTTCAGTAGTTCCTGGTGTTCCTCTAGCCCCCATGAGGAGCTAGCTACACATGAGGCTCAGCCCACAACCTCTCCTCGGCATCTGAGATTTCAAACTATGCCACAATCACTGTGCCAGCTGGCCTCCAAGACCATTAGGACTGAGGCTGCACCATTACTGTATTATTAGAGCACCTGCTATCCAGACAATGTCTTTTTTGGCCCTCACTTCCACCAGGACTCTGCTGACCTTCAATTAGTCCTCATCACCGCCAGCTGTGTTGACTAGTTACTCTATACAAACGTATTTACCTGCACCTTTGTGAATGTCACCATTCAGCCTGTTTGTCGTGCACCAGCCATTGATGTTGGTCCATCTGACAGTAAGCACAGCACTGCTAACTCCTTCTTCCCCAGTAATTGCTTATCCATCCTAGTATGCACTATTACTCCCTACTTGTCCCATTACAGCATCTGCTTCCTTGGGGTTACAGAAGCATCAGGGGCATCTAGGTTTATCCAGGTAAGGTGGGGCCACTCACTAGCTCGTCCTCGTCTACACAGTAATAGATGAGCTCAGCAGGTGATGTGGGCGCTAGGTCGCTGATGTGCTGCAGAGGCAAATGTGCTGGGGTCAGGGCAGGTCCTGAGTAAGTTTAGGGTTGTGCCGTCCCCCTGCCCACCAGGGCCTTACCAGCTCTGTGGGCTTTGGGTGCTTCGATGCAGGAAGTGGAGGCCGTGGCTGAGCTTGGGAGTGATGTTGGGCAGCCACCTTCGAGCCACTCTTACGACAGTTATGTTTACCCTAGAAGTCGAAAGCCAGCTAAGGCTTGGTGGTACCAAGTAGACACTGGACCCCCGGGGAGTGCAGGAGCCATGCACTGACTGGTCAGGTGGAGTGTGCAGTCAGACACTCACAGTGGGGGAAACCACAACCTGGGGAGGGCACCGG